GGGAGTAAATCATCTGTTTGTCCAGTGTATTTATGCAGTATACATGCTACCCAACCATTAGTCCCTTAGTAACTCTCTAGGTTATCAGATTGGTTATCAGATTAACTGTCTAGGGATTACAGTGTTTGTGTTCAAGTAACTCTTACTTACTTAAATGGCTTCAAAGTATAAGAGTAGTGAGGCTAGCATATTGTTATAATTGTTCTATTTTATTATTAGTTGTTGTTAATCTCTTACTGTGCCTAATTTATAAATTAAACTTTATCGTAGGTATGTATGCATAAAAAAAAACATAGTATACATAGGGTTAGGTACTGAGGTTTCAGGGATCCACTGGAGGTCTTGGAATTTGTCCTTCTCAGGTGGAGGTGCAAAGGTCCAAAGAGGCTGAATTAAGGCAGTAGCAGTAGAAATGGGAAAGCAGAGCTTTTGTGCAGGTAGAACCAGGAGAGAGAGGGAGCAAGCAAAAAAAAAAAAAATTGAGATTTTTGGGCTTGGGTGATTTTGAGCTTGGGCTCAGTGATGCCTTTATTTATAAGAATTAAGGAGTTCAAAAGAAGACTGACTTTTGTCTTGGATATTTTTTAAGTGCTAAGGAAATCCAGTAGAAATAAGTCCTAACCTAGTGTCCTATCTACCATATAATTTAGCTTTCACATGATTTTTTAAAATCAAATTTCATGAGAGGCAAGGCTCACGTTTTTCTCTTGATTATTCATTTTTTCTTATTTTCTTCTCCCTCATATTTGCCTTATTGATCATTGAAAAAATGTTGATAAAACCATTTTTAAGATATTTTAGAAACTGAGGCACTTAGTGGATCAAGAGAAGAAAAAGATTATAGGAACTTAGTTCGTAACATATAACACATGAAAAACTAAATGTCAGACAAATATTAACAAAATATACTAGATGATCATATGGCTAGAACAAGATAAAGGAAACAATGTAGCTTCATTTTTTTTTAAAGGCAATTACTTTGAAACTCTGCAGAAAGAAAAAAGACAAGTATAAAATATGAATCATAAAAGCACTTTGGTAAAAAAAGATAATGGCATATAAGTTTTCTCATTCAAACAATGAAAAATATTGATTCTTATTTTCAATAAAAATGTTAATTCTGTTTAAAAAAAATGATGAGTCCTACAATCTGGTTAGGTTAAATCTTGATAGTTGACCAAAGGGAGCCAAGAAGTTACTACTTCCCATTCTTCAGGAGACACTATTACATCTCAGATTCTTTTTAAAGAACACTTAATTTTTTTACCTTGGGAAGCTTTACCCTAACTGAAGTGAAAACAAATTCTTATAATATAATTAAAAAAAACTATGAACATCCCAAAATATCAAGGATCAAAGGTAAAAGGAATTCATAGGAAGTAAGTCAAAATGTTCACAAATGTTCTTAAGTACTATATATGTTCAATTAAGTATCAAGAGTATATAAAATAATAACCACAGAGAGAATAATGTTTAACTTAAAAGTCATATAACATAAATGAAAATATACTGAAAAGACTGTTTACAAATTACCTGCTTAAGCAAAAAATAAAAATAAAAAATCTTTTAAATCACTTCCTTAAAAAGATGAAATTTTTTGGCAAAACTGATATTCACATTATGTAAATTATATAATTTCAATCTGTATTTTAAACCTATAATTAAGGATCATCAGATTTTAATGAAGTAGAAATTGTTTTGAGTGGTAATATGTGTTTTCCTTATGCTTAATATTTAATTCTAAAAAACTCAACTTTTTCATACGAACTTAAAGGCTCTTACCAAATATAGAAGTATGATATTTAACCTGAAAGCACTCAGTATTTTCAGCACAAAAAGCTCTACCCACTGAAGCCTAGGAAAAAAACTCCCACTACCATCACTATTGTTATAATATTCTAGGTGACAAAAAAACAGATGACAAGGAAGTAAAATTATATAAAATGTGTTTAATTTCCAATACCTATAAATATTAAAGATATCTTGCAATATTACTAATAAAACAGAAATAGTTCCAGCTATATTTTGAGTATTTCTCAAAACCTCAAAAAGAGCAACAACAACAAAATTTTGAGTAACATGCCCTCAAAGTGATTTGCCACATATCTATAAATGTTAGATAGGAGTTATTTTTCTTATAGGAATTATTTTTTTAAGTGGGGAAAGAAATAAGCTTTCTTTTCTTTTCTTTTTCTTTCTTTCTTTTCTTTTTTTTTTTTTTTTTGAGACAGAGTCTCCCTTTGTTGCCCAGGCTAGAGTGAGTGCCATGGTGTCAGCCTAGCTCACAGCAACCTCAAACTCCTGGGCTCAAGTGATCCTCCTGCCTCAGCCTCCAGAGTAGCTGGGACTACAGGCATGTGCCACCATGCCCGGCTAATTTTTTCTATATATTTTTAGTTGGCCAATTAATTTCTTTCTATTTTTAGTAGAGACGGAGTCTCGCTCTTGCTCAGACTGGTTTCGAACTCCTGACTTTGAGGGATCCACCCTCCTTGGCCTCCCAGAGTGCTAGGATTACAGGCGTGAGCCACTGCGCCCGGCTTATATTTTCTATTAATTCTCAAAGACTATTTTATTTTGCTGGTCAACACAGCCCCCACTAGTTCAATATGGTCATTAAACACTTTCTCTTACTATAAATTTTTTTAAACAACAAACATTTATTATATCTCACACAGTTTCTGAGAATTAGAATCTGAAAGTGTCTTAGCAGGGTGGTTTCAGCTTAGGGTCTCTCATGAGTTGTAATCAAGCTGTCGTGTGTGTGTGTGTGTGTGTGTGTGTGTGTGTGTGTGTGTATATTTTTTTTTTCCTAGAGATAGGGTCTTACTCTGTCACCAGGCTGGAGGGCAGTGGCACAATCACTGCTTGATTGCAGCCTTGAACTCCTGGGCTCAAGCGATCCTCTCACCTCAGCCTCCTGAGTAGCTGGGACTGTAAGTGCACGCCACCATGCACAACAAATTTTCAATTTTTTTGTATAGACAAGAGTCTCACTATGCTGCCCAAGCTGTTGTCTCCTGGCCTCAAGTGATGCTCCTGCCTCAGCTTCAGAAATTGCATATATATTACTTTTTAAAGTTTTAAAATGTATAAGGGATTGCCTGCCCCCCATCAAAGTGAAAGTTAAATTCCATGATCACAGCTAACTCAACTCTGTAATATTCATTACTTTGAAAAACCAGCAACCTATTGCTGTAACAGTTTTAGCACACATTTTACATGTAAAATATTCTCCAAAATTGTCTAAATTATACAAACTTCACTTCTAACATTACATTTAAAGATATTTGAAGCTCTATATAATTGAGTTCAATTTGCTAAAGCAAATGAGCTCTAACCTCATGAAGATTTCCTGAGGTATTAAAATAATCAGTATTTAAAAGAAAGTCAAAAGAAGACACAAAAATCTGAAGTCATATATAATACAATATAGAATTCTCTACATTTTGTCTTAACTATAGTACAAGATAATGAGCAATATATATTATTCTCAAGTCAGCCCCTTACCAATGATCAAATTTATTTCAATTTGATATTATATATTTAAAAATGAAACTATGAATTTTAATTTCTTTTACGTGTCTAACACTGGAAGAGGAAAAAGTATTTCCTGACATTTTATCATAAAAGAAAAATGTTAGAGAAACTTTCTTTTATAACCACGTTCAAACATTCCTTTTAGTATCTTGATAAAACGTATCATACAGGAAAGCATAGGCTTCTAAATTAAAGATTCTTTTCAGTATGTTTTCAGTTTGAATAGATCACAATATATCATCCAAGTCTACATACTTATTATTTGAAAAATTTTTAGAATTAAGACAAATTCTTCAAGATTAGTCATGTTAAGCTATATTTGTCATTACTGCTTCTTTATTTAAAAAAAAGTAAAGAAGGAAAGCAATGCATCGCATTCAATTCCCTCAATACTTTAAAAATCATACTACCCCCCTCCAATAAACGTCATTATATTCCATTTAGCCAAAAGTAAACAGCAGACACATCTTTGTGGTCTATCCTGGCAAATCAGTGTTTAGATACCAAATACAATTGTAATTAATGGCTCAGAATCAAACACTGTAACAAAACAGAGTGGATCCGCCTGTGTGTGTACATGTGCTCATTCATAACATGACCCTCCTACACACACAGAAACTCAGTTTCTACTGAATAACAAAACATCTTTACATTATACATAGGTTATTATAAAATTGTCCTCTTTAATGTACAAAGAAAGCAACTTCTAAAGCTGAGGAAGAGAAGAGTTAATACCAGGATTGCTGCCACCTATCAACTTTAATTCAAAGCAAAGTACAACTCAATGTCATTTTTAACTCTACTGCAGCCAAGACTGAAACAAAATTAACTTCATTGTGGGATAAAGTATTAGCATCCCAATGGATTATTTACTTCTCTATTTGACAGTACATATATGTGGAGTCTTTTGTCCCTCCCACAACATCCCAGGGTGTCAACATTATCTTCGTCAAAGCATACAAGGAGCAAATCCCTCAGGTCATTACTTCAGTACCCTAGTACACAAAAGTCATGGCCTTAATTGTCGTTACAACACAGCGAATAGATTCTATAGTTCCATGCCCCCTTCTATGATAGTTGGGGATGCGGGGTGGGAAAGCAGCGCTCATATTTCCTAAGAATCCTCTGTGTTTGGTCCTGGTACCAGAAGTGGCATAAGTACAAGTGCTATGTGGGTCACCCACAGAGAGAGGAACAGAACGAAGCTTCGTGACCCTCCAAGTTCAGGGAAGATACCCAAAGCCTCGGGGAAAACGGGGCTGAATCCGAACAGTCTCCGAGGTGGACAGTGACTGGGTCTGGCACGAGCCCATACCGTGGGCAGCAACCTAGGAGTCTCCAGTACCCCTCTCCTCCTCACCAGGGGCGGTCACTCAGCAAAGGGTGCGGCCAGAGGAGGGGGTCAGGATTGGGGGAGGGCGGCGCCCTAGGGGTGCTGAGGGCGGGGGGGTGTGTCCTACCTGGGCCGTGGCGGACGCAGGGATTTCAGGCGGAGCGCTCGAGTCCAGCTCAGGGCCGGGACCGGCAGGGGTCAACCCTCAGCAGGCGGGACTGCCACCGCCTGCCCATCCCCCGCCGCGAACTGCGGCGGGACCCAAGCGCGGCTTCGAGGGCCGGCCGGCTGGGTAGTTCCCCCGGGTACCGTCCGCGTTTACTGGCGGCGGCGGCGGCTGCTGCTGTTACTGCTGCTGCTGGCTTCTCCCAGCCGCTGCTCTTGTGTCAGCCCCTGCTCCCCCTCCTGCCGCCGCCGCCGCCGCCTTGTCCCCACCGCTCCCATCGCCGCTGCGGCGACTACTGCAGCGCCCGCTGACCCGACCCGACGTTAGTCTCCCCCTTCGCAACCCGGCACAGCCTAGCCCACCTGCCCTGCCAATGCGCACGCCCACCTCTCTACTGCAGGTGCTGATTGGAGGATGAGTTCCGAGACCCCAGCGTCGGTTGGTTAGTCTCATTGCCCATCACGAAGGGGGCGGAGAGTAGGGCAGAAGGCGTCTCCGCCCCCCACCGGAGAATTGCCGCTATCTTCAGGTTTGCCTGAGAGGGCTAGTTACCGGGAAGGGAGCATCACAATGGCAGCACGCATGCGCGCGGGGATTCTGGGCCTCGTAGTTCCAGCCTCACAACTGCGCGCTGGTCTAGAGAAGCAGGGCTTCTGAGACCAGTGATTGGCGTACTTAGGTGTTCTAGTTCAGCTGTTAACTTAGTTATACAGGCATGGTTGTGACTCCAATGTTAGGCGTTTTGTAATAAAATTGGAAATACCTTGTCACGATACGGAATTACACACTGAGGCAGTCGTGAGGAGGAGCTGAAATCGTGAGGCCCTGCCATGCCTTAAGGGATCCATCCACCTCCTCAGAACCAAAGCTGCCAGGATCTCGCAAATTGGCGCTGTCCCCAGAACCTCCTAACATGAAGTTAATAACCTTTGGGGACCAGGGAAGGGCTTAAAGGTGTGAGAAGGAAAGGAGACAGGACTTCCATAAAGGAATGTCAGGCTGGAGACTGGAGTTTCCTTATGATTTTACAACTCACAATGAACAAGATTTCATATCGTTTTTGAAACACCTCCAGCTAAAGATTCAATGAGCAGCCCTGGTGCAGACCAGTATGGGATTCTAAGCAAGAATATGGGAGGGTTGCTCAAAGACTTTCAAAGAAAAGCGAGGAGGGCGGAGCATCGAGTCTGTAGGATAAATTTGTATTTAGTGTTGATTGTGTCAGCCTCTTTGATCAAGGAAAACCTTAAGATTAAGCCCGTCTCCCATCTTTATCCACCAATTTACAGTAAGGAAAACTCAATTTAAAAGGTTAAGCAACTTTTCTAAGACAATAAACTAATAAGTGACAAAACCAAAACTCAGGTCTCTTAAACCTGTGTCTAATGCTTTCTCTACTTAATAATCACGATGACTCCCAGGGGTTTGCCATAGACAGAAAAAAATGCAATAACATATGAGCTTAATTTTTACATTAAATCCTTTTCTTCACTCAAGCGACATCATTATTCAAGCTGATTAAGAATATAGAAAGGTTAAATATAAATCCTATATCCAATCTCAGATCTGTTCTTATAGAATCTGTTTCTTCTTGTTCAGGAAAAGCCACAGCCTCTTGACATTCTTTAAAAAACATCAGGCACCTCTACTATCATGTCCAGATCCTTGGATAAAAAGCTGGACAAAATGTATGGTAAAGGCAATTGATGATGCAGTTCATCTTGTTCTATTCATACATAAATAAGTTGCCAAATTGATTTCTTTCCACTAATTAAAACCACAAGTTGCTTTTTCTATTACTTTGTCTAATAGAATATAGTTTGCTTCAGAGTATTGGCCAATCACATAATTTGAGTAGAAAAAGATTAGGGTTTCAGTAAATATTTTTCTTTAAAAATTAAAGGAGTTTATAGGGAAAAATGTCCAAATTCATGACATTATGCCTAGAGCAAAAAAAGTGCCCCCTTTTCTCTAGTCTTTTCTATTTAAGAATTATTAGTCTGTTCCCAGAGATGCTTTTTGAATTAGGACAAATGGCAAGGTAATATATTTATTATTCAAGAGCTGGTACCAGAATTCAGGAACCCCGTTTGATACACACACACACACACACACACATACTTTTGAGATATATATATATACTTGAGATATATTTATAGAGAGAAATAAATGTGGTAGCTAACCTTCAAGGTGGCTCCCGATGATCCCTACCTCCTAATATTCTCACCTTTATGTAGTCCCTCCCATACTAAATTAGGCTGAGCTATGTAACCAATAGGATTTTCCAGAAATTATGATGTGTGACTATCAAGGTTAGTTAGTAACAGACATTGCAGCTTCTGCCTTATGCCCTCTTGGATCACTTACTTAGCATGAAGCCAGTTGCCATATCATAAGGATACTCTAGCAGCCCCATGTAGTGGTCTCCTGGCAAGGAGCTGAGGCATCACACTAATAGTCCACACCAGCTTGCTATCCATGTTAGTGAGCCATTCTTGGAAATGGATCCTCCAGCGTCAGTCAAGCCTTCAGATGACTGAAGTCCCAGCTAGCATCTTGACCACCACCTTGTGAGACACTCCAAGCCAGAACCACCCAGCTAAGGCACTCCCAAATCTAGACCCACAGAAACTATATGAAATAATACATGTTTACTGTTGCTTTAAGCCCTAATTTTAGGGATAATTGGTCATGTAGCAATAGATAACTAATACAGTAATTTAGGAAAATAAGGGAGAGAGGAATGACTGAAGTCTAGACATATGTAACCTGGATAACTAAGCCTGAAGAAACAAGACTCTTATTCTAAGATCAGCATATTCAAGGATAATGAGCAAAGTTCAGATTTACACTAAAGATGTCTCACACAGGACATAAAGTCCCTTTCAACCAGCTTTTTTTCTCCTAGCATGAAATAAATAGCATACTGAAGAATCTCTTTCTTCTTTTCCTTTTCTCCCATTTGTGTCCTTCTCTACTCATCTTTAGGCACCATTTTGTACCTTTTCCCCATAATCCAAACAGGAAATTATCTAGATGGGTCATGTGTGTCACATTGTTATCAGGACAACACCACAATATGGATCAGTATGAAACTCAAGGAAAAGAGACCCCTGCTCTTTTTTTTCTCTCTCTCTTTAAAAACAAATCTCAGAATTGTACACTTGAAATGCATGAATTGTATGGCAAGATGATTATATCTCAATAAAGCTGTTTTCAAAAACTCTGTGCACAGTACTCTAAAGCATGAAACTCAATAGTGGACTGGTGCTGAAGTACTTCCACAAACCAGCAAACAGCCTTGTTTTTAAATTTTTCATTAAACCAGTTTCTATTTGAACATTACTTAATGCACAAACAAAATCCCTATAAACAAAATTTTTTTTCCTTTTATTTCTTCCTTTCTCCTACTAAGATCCCCACATTCTACCGTATAAACACATTTCTATAGGGACTACAAATGTTAACCACTCTGCTATGTACTGGAAAAACAAATGTGAATAAACTCAGTCCTGTCCTTAAGGATTTCATAAAGTAATGATTAGCAAATGTGCAAATCCCATTACAATATATTGTAATAACTGCTATAATAGAGGAATATAGCATATATAGATACTCTGAGATAAGGGTCAGTAATCCATAGCCTGCAGGCCAAATCCCTAGGTCTGTTGAGAGTGTGATCCCTTTAAGCCAGTGTCAGCTGTATTCTGATTTTGACAGAAATGCATTCACACCCAGTATATTAACTACCTCAATCAAGTGTTTATGTTTTTGAAACTTTGTTCTTTATTTTTTTAGTGACAGGCTTTAGTTCCAATTAGAGAAATTTCAAGCAAAAAGAATTAGATAAGAGAAAATTGTGTTTGGGTTTGGGCAAGGTAACCTCAATTTTGGAATATGAGTTTATAGTTTTTTCACCTATTGAATATCAATTTGTGTTTGATGATGATTGAAATAGACCATAAATATCAGGGAATATTGATATTGATTAGAACTAGTAAAGTGAAAAAAGAGACCAAAATACTTTGCATTTTTAAAAGTAATTCTCATTGTAGTTATTTACTGATACGCTTCTCATTTATGCATTTTATGAAACACAGAATTATATCATTAATGTTAGCAGTTAATTTTTTATAAGTTTTATTAGAAGAGTGAACTCTATATTTGCTCAGTCTTTTAGGTTTCCTTTTTGTTACAAGGTCATCCATTAATATAATATTGTTGTATGTTATATACTGACAATTTTAAAATTAGAAAGTGATAACATTACGTTACGATTCCTGATGTGTGCCTGTAACCGCCTGGAAAAAGCTCAATGACTTTCAGTCTGGTTCAGTAATTAGCTACTCCAAACACTGGATAGCTTTCGGTGATTTTCGGGTTACTAACTGGGCAGCAATGCTAACAGCGCACCCTAGTGATCATAGTATTTCACTGCAAGCTGTATTAGAACAGGTTTGAAATCATTGTGTTTGGGAGGGACATGCCTCTGATCCCCGCTAGGGAAAGGCAATGATATGGGATGTGCCCAAAATGTTTGTACCTTCATAATATTCTAAAATTAAAAATAAATAAATAATCAAAGCAGACTATCCAGGGGTTAGGGATTTTTTATAATTTTAGAGACATGATTATGATAACGATAGAGATGATCTTAAAAATATTTTTCTGGTGGTGGTATTTGGGCATTATATGTTCTATAGAATAAAGCCTATTCATAGATGGCAGATAAAATTTCCAGAAATGTATTGAGTACCTACATCAAGGTTACTGTATGATATCCTATGGAAGAATAAAGAAATATAAGACTTGGTTCCTATATATGCTATTTTGAATTATAATTTTTATGCACATCTTAATTCTTTTTATAAGCCATAGATGGATTATTTCCATCTTTAGAAAGATGGAAATACTTTGTATGTATTCATACTTTGTATTCACTATACTTTCTTCACTCTGTAAATTTTTATTAAGTACACTCAGTATTTTCAAATAAATTAATGCAAAAATTAAATACTAATAAGTGCAAATTACAAGTGCTCTCACACTTTTTATTAACTTCTTCTGTATTTTCTATATTAATATAATTACATTTTGCTTCTTTATTTTCTTTAACTCTTACCCAGAAACTGTATAACAAAGTTGATTGTTAAAAAACCAGAAAAGTCTCCTAGTGAAGTCTCAGAAGAGAAAGGAAGGAGAACAATCCTAACAAATTTACCTTAGAAGTGGTAATGGCAGTATAGAATCAGAAATTGGGCTTTTTAGGTTCTTGGGTCAGACTATCTGATACACAGCATTCAAATAGAGTCCCTGACTATTCTTAGCACTATGTTCACATATTAAGCTTGCTCTGGATA